TGTAATAGGAGCGAAAATCTGCATCGTTCAAACACACGGAGATCAATGCAATTCCGAGTGGTAATCGGATGCATGGCGCATTCCAAAAATGACTCCACTATGGTTCCATGCCCAACAAGAAAGAAATCAACGTAATCAAAAGAGTCAGAACTATTCAAAACTGATTCAGAAAAAGATCAGCAGGTTTTGAGCCGATTGGAGTGACCAGCCACACCTCGTTTCTGCTGAAATGGTTGGAGAAAACGCAATCAGAAGAAGTTGACAAAAAAACTGCAGAAGAACTGCAAGGAGTTCGAGAGTAGACCTGATTGGTGTGACCCTGGTCTGGCAGTGAGAGCTTGAACATCTCATCTACATCCTTCTTGAGAGTAAACCCCTTCAGTGCATGAGAGTAAAAACTCTGGTAAATTCCTTTTAAAACGGTCGCCTATGGTGAGATGAAGACGAAAAGCAGGAAAATGAAATTAGGAGAATATTCGGCTGCATAACTGCAGAATTCTGACCATCGTTAATCGATACCTCGTCAAGTCCAGTGTATGTGGGGGAGTAGCGAGTGAAGACATCGAAAATGCATGACAATAGCTGACGCCGCAAGCACTGGACCAGCTTATGGTGCCAATCCAATGGAGTTGTCACGAAGAATTTCCAGTCGGTTGAATGAACCTATAACCTCATGCACTTTCGGAATGCACCATAGTGTAAGGGATCTGCCCTCAGTCCATCCTGGAACTTAGGGCCGAGATTTACGCCATACACTCTAGGGGAGGTTCATCAGGGTCAACCGTCACGTTGGACCAATTTCGAAAATTTTACGACCCCCTCCCCCCTTCTAGAGGGCCTCGATACGACCCCCCCTCAGGGTTAACCCTTCACGACCATCCTCCACCACCCTCGCCTGCCATCGCCATCATGGGGCGATTCTATAGTATTTGATTCTGAGACCAGTCGACACAGCCCAACTCCGCCCACTTTTCCCTTCCAAAATTGTCCAACGGACGGTGGACCCTGTTTTCCATTGGTGAAGGGCGTCTTCTACCGCGACTGTATACGCCGCAGTTCGGGAATCAAATCAAGGGTCGAATTTTCTCAGGTCCAACCAACGTTGCTATTCTTCGGTGTTGGTCAGTTGGTAACAAATTCGCCTGGTACCTTCGAAATACCAACTTTTACACTGACTGGCTCCTGCAAGCCTTCACGTAGGCCTCGTGATCAAACCCCACCATGGTTCTGAATTTAAACAGATTGGTGACGTATCCAAAAACTTATCAGTGCCGAATGCTTTGTTTTTCCTGGTGGTAAATGGGCAGTCTCAGACTGCTTTCATAGTTTGCGGTCCGTGCGGTTTGCGCGGACTGTACGGACCGTGCGGACGCGCGGAGAGAGTGAAAAGCGTCAACACGCGCTCTGGCGCACGATGCGTACTTGGCGCGCAGTCGGCGCCTCCCGATCGATAATCCTAATTTCGATTTTCCTATTTTTACGTTTTTTACCGTTTTATTTTTTTGACGTTTTTTGTGCCGTTTTGCTTTCACGTGCGCTTACTTTGCTTCGCTCTATTTTTCTTTTTGTTATTCGGTGCTAACTTAGTTGGGGGGGGGCACGCGGCGGCGCGGCAGTCTGCTCACCTGGGCTCTCTCGAGCGAGACAGTGTAAACTCGAACATTCCAGCTTTTCACGCATGTCAAGTGACTGCCCCCACCCCCCCCCCCCCCCTAGACTGCCTACACTCCCCCTGGCCCACGGATTTCCGAACATGCCAGGCGAGCAGACTGCCGCGCCGCCGCGTGCCCCCCCCCCCAACTAAGTTAGCACCGGATTACTGCTTTTGCTTACTAATGAACTCACCTGGGGCTTACTGCCACTTTCAAACACACTGTATGAACCTAACCATTCTAGGACAGTTGAAAAGCAATGATTCACACGAAAAAAGAAAAAGATTCTCGCCAAAAAAACACGAGCAAAAGCAACACGGCACGTGGAACACCTGAAAAACAAAAATAGAATGTAATGAAACCGAATTTATCGATCGGAAGGCGCCGACTGCGCGCCAAGTACGCATCGTGCCCCAGAGCGCGTGTTGACGCTTTTCACTCTCTCCGCACGGTTCGCACGGACCGCAAACTGTGAAAGGCGCCGCGGATCGGAATTGATAGTACCATGAGTTAAGTAACTCCCTAAGTTGGAAAGAGTGTGACTAGCACCACAGAAGTGTCGCCCTAGTCACGACTCAAAGTGCGTGGCATGGGCGGCATATGTCGTCTCTTAGCCTTGTCCAGCGCGCGATCTACCCAATCGCGGCACCCTGTGATGTATTGTGCGTCTCTGCTACCGTGCTCTCCGTGTATTCCCTTTCTCTCTCGAAACGCTGTGTCTCTCCTCCCTACCACCCAAACCTACACGGGGAACCCCAGCGTTTTTTGGCGATTTTGTGTCTGGTTATCCACACTACCGTTCTCATTGCATCGTGCATATATCGAACAAAATACATGATCACACAGTCCCAGTGTCTATCCGATCAGGTGCATGCCTGTAAAGGCACAGAACTACTACTTTCACGTACCACGACTATTATTTATGGGCGAAATTGGACGCGACATGTGCGAAAAGAAGGCTAGAAAAAATTGGTTCAAATTACGGGCAAGACCTTTTAGCACTGTAAGCAAGCAAGTCCTGCACCCTTATCGTATCACGAGCTGTGTGATCGGAGCAACGGTCATCTTCGAACATAACTCTATCCTACCTCGGATTAATCTCGAGGTCTGATCTTTCGGCGAAATACAAGAGAAGGAAATTCTTCAAATACAAAAATAAAAAGAACATTTGTCGTTTGGAGAGCCACCTGTAATTTTGCCCCATATTTTACCCTACATCTCATCAATGATAAGCACCCCATGAGTTTTTCCTTTGGAAGAAAAATTAAAGGAATTCCGACAAATAACATGGATGCTAAAATTTATTCTGCAACAAGCAAACAAAATATCCAACATTCCCAACTGGAAGCCCTCCAACAGTAACTATAACAGACTACGAAGTACACCCATTTTAACAAAACAGACTCACAAGCGATGGGTACTTTAAATGGATTTTGGGGAACAGACAAACCCAAGATGGAAACAGGTAACAATCGCTGTACACATATATCTCTTACTCTAAAACATTCTATAACAACTCATAAACTCAACATAGTGATAACTTCGTTCGCAAAATGCGAACAAACCTAACAAAATAAGTCGTCTCATATAGACTAGAGATATAAGCAGATGGATGCACTTGAAACAATCAACAAGAATTCATATCCATAGGATTCCAATGTGTCTGAGACCTGGACTAGTCGAATATATCGTGAACATGGAGGGCTGGTAGCCACACTGCGGTACACCTGACGGACGGGTGTCACTGTATGAACCTGAGAATATCATAGTTCAACGCTTAAGTCATTCCAAAAAGATAGAATTGCGTTTCTGAACCATAATTAACACAATTTTACTCTTAATATTGTGCTGTCCCGGAGCCTCATCAGCACCTAAATATTGTATAACACAGAGAGGCACCAAAATTTTATTTCAAAAGAATTCCAAAAGTTCAGAAAGTTCGAAAATTCCAAAAACTCGAAAGTTTCAAAAGAGCAAAAAGCTATTTGAAAAAGAATCCTTTTGAAATCCTCCGCGATATTTCGGTGTTTAACACCTTCTTCAGGCCTGAAATACATTGATTATAGTAGATGTAAATAATTTGGTGAACTACTATGCCCATATTGATACCCACATGTGTTTGCCACTGCCAAGTGTAAAGCTGCCCTTACGGGAGCCGCGCCTTTGTAGTGAAGAGAAATGAAATGACACATATTTTACTGTCCTATTACAAGTTGTCGCTGAAAAGCTACTACCATATTGATTGTATTTGACCTACTGCAAATATTTTTTCAAAAATGGTCCTGCTCAATGATTACTTTGTCATAGTCTTCCAATATGTATTCGAATCAGCTCAAAGATACGAATAATATTGAATTTTGAGACATTCAATCGATGGGCTATTAGAATGGTCCGCAGCCCAGCCGCAAGAAGGCAATTCATCGGCAAATCCATAAAATCAGTGAACGATAGTAAGAAGGTCAAGGAATTACCTAGAAGTGCGACTAACCCTATATTACACCAGGAAGAAGCAATTATGTTTGCCCCGCATTTTTTGCTTTCGACGATGACATTTTGCGAGCTCTTTACTCTGACAAAAATCAAAAGAATGACAACAAAATAACGGCTCCTTTAAGGCGATTTCCCATTTCTTCATCTTCTGCCGTCACTCAAAAGTGAATTTATCTTCAGGCAGGCCCACCAATGGAATTTCAGGGTAAATAACATTACTGATGCTTAGCCTGTTGGAAACATCCCACCGTCACACTCGTCACATCTAAGGATCAGTTTCCTAATAGCCGCTATTGACACAAGCTCACCAATATTTGAAGAGTCACTATATAAGCACTTACAGACCGAAAGGCTACCGAGAAGACCATTTAATGATCAACCACTACTAGGCATTTATCGATTCAATAACAGAGCCGTTTGTTGTACACGAATTTCAAGAGAATCGCTCTTTAAGTCTATGGATGTAGTCCACTATCGCTGGAAACGATAGCTGGGATACTGTTCTTTCATATAACCTGCTTGTTCTTTCAGAAAATATAGTGTGGACCGATTTTAGCCCATTCCATAACAACAGACCGTAGAATGAATGTGAAAATACCTATAATCATATCATCCTCTTCAAGGAAATCCATGTTGTCTTCATTGACAGAGGTGCTGATTCGAGAGCTTCGCAATACAGATGATACTTCTGACTTGTCCTCAGCCAAAGGAGAAAAGCGTCGCATTTGTGAGCACACCAGTGTTATTGAGCTACAAAAAAGTGTGCTTCAATCGACGTCCAAGAAAATACGCGCGTGTTATACCATTTCAACAAAAAAGGTGATTAAGGAAACTGAAACAATAACGAAGAAGCAACCTTTTAAGTTTGAAAGAATCGAACGGGAACATAGGTTCGAAAGGCAGTTTCGTGCCTGCGTCAAACGGCAACAAATGATTGCAATATACCAACTGCAGAGACCTAAAATCAATACGTCGTAATGAATAACTCAATAAACTTGTGCATAGCGTTGTAGTGACAATCGCTTGAGAATTTGGCCGCTGTATATTCCAGTCCCGTTTAACAGAGCCTCTCGTGAGAACACTCAAAGGCAAAGTTTCCGTTTTCGCGCGGCTTTGAAACCTTAGGCATTTTGATTCAATTAATTCCGTTTTCGCGGCGCTTTCGGAAATCTTAGCGCATTTTGATTCCACGTACAAATTGATGATAGCAGTGATGCTCATGCGCGTCTGAATGTTTCACCCGATGTGGCTAGTTTTTTGGTGTTTGTATTGGCCTTACAATATTTCAAATAACTTGTGTGTAATGTTCATCTTATCCGAAGTGGGATTATCGAAGAAGTTATGACGATTGTGGAAAAAAAAAAACAAAAAGTTGCCGAGGTACACGCATAAGGGCTGTCGTCAACCGTGTTAAATGAACCAGCGTTTCAGTGAAATTCTACTGAACGCTCCAATATAGGTCGCTACTCGTCAAAAAAATTGTCTCAAAAAGGCATTTTTTGAATTCCATTCGAAAGCTTACCGACTAATAGCAGCAAAAGCACAATCCAACAGGTCTAACAACGTATTTAAGTGGATCCAGCGACGAATGAACGATGCGTCCAAGTCCCCACCTTCCAATTTCTTCAATATCTAAAAAAAACTGCCCAAAATCAGCATGAAAACTAGTACATATGTACAATACGTGCATACGTACAGTGAAGCACGAACAGCGAACATTCCATACAAAGGAATTGTAATTACAACGTACCTCCGCTTTTAACCATTTCTTTATACCGAAATGAGAAAATAATGAAGAATGCCTGACACAATGCGTAAAATGCTCCATGCCTGATGACACCGGGCAAAATCTGAAATGTAGAAAATTGAAGAAAATTTTACTAGTGTCTACTGCGTGAAATTTCTCGCCTGTTTATTAGTTATTCCGCAATTATCAACATATTGTATGCACCAATTCACAATGCGGGACATCCACTTCATCGCTATTCTGAAAAGAAGGCTACAGCTAAGTCAGAAGCCAAGTAAGTAGTTAAGAATGGATGAGTCTCTTACTGCAGGTCAAGGTATTTTGCTCTAGCTAGAAAAGCAGCCAGATAGGCAGCAGCCCCATGTCCTTTTGCTACATCTGATTGCGCGATTTGTGGCCGAACAATAACGGACCACAAAAGCTCCAATGTCCTTGTGGCGTAACTCTAGAAAAAAAAATGCTGTATTTACAAAACGGTCAGTTGTTCCACTGAATTCGTGGCCCATTTACCTCATCAAGACTGCAGATGTAAAGCCAGATAAATGAGGTGTAGCGGACGTGTACAGCCAAGAGCATCCGACTTTCCAAGAGTGACAGAAGTATGGAAAACACTTCTTCTCCTTTCGCTTCATTGCCCAGACGTAACCAACTTGCATCTGCTCACGAGTAGCGAAGAATTATGGTTTGAATGAACAGAAGGGATAGGTAAGTAAATGGTAACGAACACATGTATTTTTTTTTTTTTTTTTTTTTTGTTTATTTTTAGATGATAAACAAAAGCTGTTGGATTGTGGTGTGGACCAATATTGAAACTGAAACAAACCACCCATCGCGACAGAAGCAACAACGCCATGTTCATCGCAATGTAGCATAACACATCTCGCATAACACCGTCAAGTTTTGCCATCGTGCCATCCTCATCACTGTCAGCTTCCTGTTGCTGCTCCTCATCCTTAAATGAAAATTTCGGCAGTTCGAGTCATTAAGTAACCCTTTTCCTGGAAATGTTACGCTTACCATATCAAATATAGCAGTGTCAGCTGTGCAGTTCTTATCATCATGGAATTCAGATTTTGCAAGCATATTCTGCAAATCGAGATTAGTGTCAGAAAAAGAGGGTCAAACTGTTAGATAGTCAATACTGAATTAAGCAAAATATGTTAAAACAAGCTAAATATATAACGGCAATAATTGCCTTCTTAGGTACACTCAAGTACTCGATAGGAGCGGCTGCGAATTTATGTCCTTGATCCGATCGATTTCTTCATTATTAAGTCTTCTTTAACCTAACAAAGAACGCTCGTAGTTTTTTTTGCATTTCTACAGGCATTTATGACAGCGGAAGGATAGGAATGGTCTTCTTTACATACGTTTCGGAGGCCATGACAATATTACTCGCGCATAAAGGACTAAATGTAAATGGATTCTCCCAGCAAAGCGTTAATTTTGGATGTTAAGTATTACAACGAACTTATGATAGACTAATGTGTGAATATAGACGACCTGGACTACATAAAGGCCGGATATACTTTACTTAACAAAATTCTGTGGATGACACACATCTTTTCTTAGATCTATAGGGCAAAATCTTCACCCATTCACTCGATTAATTATCACGCATCGATTGTTGCAAGTTCATTACACTGCACGTCTTTTCAGGAAGTTTGTTATTATTACATCCTTGAATCACCTTCAGCATTAACATAGCCAAAATTATTGTACGACTTCAACAAATTCCATTGTCATCACTTGAAATCCACCAATCTGAGATGAGGGAGGCGGGTGATGGCACTCGCAAGGAGCGCATGCGTCCCACGCGCGGAAATCAGTCCGATATATCGCGTCGACACGAATGTCTCAAGAAGAAGTGCATGTTCGAGTCCCAATAAGAACAATTGATTTTTTTCGTACCCATCACCCTGTGACAACTTTCGCATGGCGAACTGCGACCATAAGCAGCAATTAACAAATAAAAACAAATTACAAGACTCAAGTAAGAAGTAGAGCAAGGGTTGTAAAGGAGCTGAATACACAAGCTCCAAATTCAATCAATGAGAATTGTGAAAAAGAAATCAAAAATGGATATTCCAAATAAGCATGAAAATAGGAGCAGCGCAAGTAGCGCATCAAGGGAATTGTTCGGCTGCCTTCCAAGACATATGCTATATGCAAGAAATTTCAATACAAGAAAGTGTAAGCAATACGAAGTTATTACGCACACGTGATCATCTGATCGATTATAAGCTCCCATATATCAGCACGAATTTTGCTAGCATACTCCAGACACTGGACCAAATTTCTCATATAACCGATAAAACGCCAACTATCATGGCTAAAATGCGGAACTCCGACGCGAAGCGCCTTTAGGAGGATTTTGGTAGACCTGTAAAACGCAGGAATTGCAAAAAGATAGAGAAAAGATATGAGAAAGTAAAATAACTGAAATGAAAACCAAAACATTCATTTCAGTTATCAATCAATCGTTCGAAAACAGCCATCGCATTCATGCAACCATTCATATGACCGAAAGAAAGCGGTTGGCGATGTAATATCTCCGTTTTTTGTACTAATCTCAAATTTTTATCTTCAGACGAAATCCACTACCAACGTACTATTTCGAGAAACTTCACACCGGTTTTGCAACATTTCAACGCTATGTATGTGTATCAGGGTAATACGCGATGTGAAGTTAGCCCAGGTGGATCGCGACAGGGTCTGACGTAGAAATTGCAATACACACAAAGGGAGTCGTACTTGATAAGTTTTTAAAGCAATCAAATGTTATCTTCCCCAACTTAACCAATAGTCACAATGTCATACAGGGGAGGAACGTGTCCTCAGTTATACGAGACACTGTCAAGGAGGGATGTACACCCCGAACAAGTAAACAGCGTCTTCCTATTACTGAGAAAACATCATATTGCCTTGAACCATACGACAGCTAAAGAGATAGGTTCTCTATGACCTGGGACACTGCCCACGACGAATTTCCTTTTGAGGACCATCAACATGATATGAAGGACATTGTGGCAAACGAAAGAATTGGAAAAAAAAGTTATTTCAAAGGTATGATGTTTGTTAAAACCAGAAAAAAATAGGAATGAACTCACATAGGAAAGCACTTATAAATCTGCGCGATAACTCGATGAGCCATGGCATAATATTTATCCTGCTCTTCAATCGACAATGCAAGCTCTGTAGTCCCTTTTCCTTCTGAAACTAAACGTCTAACCGGAAAACAAACTCAATTCGAAAAAATATGATAAATATTCACCGTTGAGCTTCATCACTGGGATTAGATTGCTCACAGCGCTACAATAAATTATTTCCGTGTGAGTGACCTGAAACAAATTGAGTGAACATAAACTTTAGTGCTGAGGTTGACCTGAAAGTTTCAAAGCCTGACCTGACGAATAGCCACATCACACAGCATACTTAAATATCGGTCCATTATTTCGCTCGGTATTGCTTGCCAACTCAATCGCTGGAAGAAAGAGACCATCGTCAGTGGAAAAAAACCCATGAGCCAACTTCGTGAGGTGGGTACAACCGAACTATTCCAAAATCTGTATTAATTTCCCAGGCTGCGGCTCATATCACTCGTTTGAATAGAATCAGAGAATTCGCGATAGAAAAACACGCGTATTGATCAAAATAATAGAAGAATCGGGACTGAAAGCAGCCGATTCAGCTTAATTGGAGAATCGGGCTAATCAGACGAACAGCGAAAATGGTCAAATACGTATCAATTCCTTGGTAGACCTTCCTCCTTTCCACGCTAAGGAAAAAACCATGATTTCCCGGTTTATTGTAATGTGTTTTTTAACGCTTTTTTGCTTTCACGAAGTGGGTTTGAATTTATGGAGAGGTGGATCTAAAGTTTACTGGATCTGAAGATGGAATCTGAATAATTTGAATGTGGATAATCTGAAGCTCTGCGAGAAGTACTCTCGTGAAAGATAAACTGGGACTTTTCGATCCGAAAAAGAAAGAATTACAAGTGGCGGAAACTTGAATGCAAAAGCAGTAGACAAAAATTAAACAGGAAAATGCACCTGCTCCTTCAAAACTGACTGAACACTGGTTGTGCAGCTGATTTCTCTTGTGCTTTCTTTACTAGTTTTTGCAACTGACTATTCAGGACGAAATTCCTTCAAAATTTCTTCAACTTCTTTTTGCTTTTGATCTAGTCCTCTACTGAACGCTTGCTGTCGTAAAGTACTCCTTTTCCTCTTCAAGTGATATTATACATCGCTCGAGTTTGTTCAGTTCTCAAGTTACCATTTAGCGAGGCCATTGTTGTGACATTATAAAAAGAAACGAAACCTGACTGCATGCTAAAAAAAAACAAGAAGATAACTCACTGAAAGATTAGTAACAAGATCTGTACATCGATCGTCCAGCAAGTCACTGATATTGAGGAACTGCTCCAAAAACTGAATTTTTGCAGCCGGTTCCCATTTTGGAAGCATTTCAATTGCGTTGCAAATTTTGCGGTACGTTATCAATGCTATGGAATCTCCCTAAAGAACAACTTAATTAATATAACAGATAAGCAAAAGATGGCACTGAAGCCAATTCGACGAACAGCCTCAATGAGCGAACCTTGAAGTATTGTATGAGAATATCTCTTCCTGTGATCACTGCCTTAGGCTTGGCCTCCGCATTTGACTCAACATCCTTTGACACGCTTTCCTTCGAAGAGTTTGCATTAACGGCGGTATCAGTAGTAGACGTCATCTTGATTTTCTTGCTTTTATGTCCTATTTGGAAAGCAGCCTTGATATACCTGAGAATGTGGAATAAATAAGGCTTAATTTCACTCCAAATTGAGGACTGAAATATAACTTACAGAATATCCGAAAAATGAACACTGCTTCTACCTCCGAAGAAGCCGAATTCCTCAGTTACTATGCTGTGAACATGCTCTCCCAAGCTCTGAAACATAATAGTTAGCTTAGCCTATTGGATGTTTGGGTGTGGTTCACAAGGACAGAAAGCGAGTTATCCACTTCTTCGCTGCGAGAACCTCGGTCCACTCCTGACCAGAGGTGGACCTGGGGACCCCGCAGCGAAAACTTTTACGTGCAGAAAGCGGAGAAGTCCCTTTTTGTCCTAGTACATCCCCACTTAAAATATCATTGGGGTTGATACGCCCACATGAATTGCAATTTTTGCAGAAGATGGAATCTCCGGGCTTCCGTGAACGAGTTCGCTTTTACACCCATCCCGGCTCCCTTCCACGTATATAGAAATTGGATTACTTCGGGCGGCATGAACTATCCCACCACATTGCCCCCTTACTGAATGAGAACCAAATATTTATTCAAAATACCTATTGCTACACCTCGACGGTGTCCTACTGTTACAACTTATAGATCAGAAGATGAATCCAACGCAACCACTATACGAAGCGCATCGTTTTGTACTCCTACTGACTAGTAAAGGACGCCATTCGTTACGGGTCCCACTGCCTCCTGCTACAGTGAACCCTTCAATGTGGAGCGGGGAATCCGTGAGCCAGGGGCAGTGTAGCCA